GAACGTCCTCGATTCGATTTGATTAAGTTTGGCTTGCGTCCGGTGTTGCCGATCTATTGGTTTTTATGGTCGGGTCTCACCTAGGATTCCTTGTCGGCGGTGTGATTTTAAATCACAGACAGGGATTAAACCCGTTGACCCGGTCCTGGTCCGAACGAGCCGGGTCTAAACTTGGGTTGGGTGTTTGGGTCTGAGACTAGATTGGAACAATCTTGGAACAACAGATCCAGATGCATTTGATTTTTTCTTTTTTAAGTACGAAATTAAAATAATAAATGTAATGCGAAAATTACAATTTTTTTTTTGAAATCTTAAGTTATATAAGTAGAGCTAATTCTCAAACTTATTCACCCGTATAGTATACGATTTAAATTTAATATTTTTTATTTTATTAAAAAGAGAATATAAATAAATTATGTAGATCAATGGCATGCAATGTATAAACTTAAATTGATCATAAAATAAACTAAAAATACTTAAACAAATAAGAAAGTAAGGCAATTCTAAACAAATATTTTATTTATTTCATGTGTGATTTTTGACATCTTATTATGACTATTAAAGAAATAAGAATAAAATTATTCTTAATACTTCTACAAGTTGAATTTAAACCCTCTTAAATTTTGAAGGAAGAATCATAACAAAACAAATAACTTATGATGAAAAACTTTATTTTTAAACTTTTACATTTTTTTTAAGATAAAAAAGGTTAAAAAGTATATTCTTTCCATTTAATTTAAGTAGATTTAATCTCTGTTTAATATAGTTGTAGTTTTAAATTTTAAATTTTGGTTTTTATAAATTTTCAACTAAGAAAAACCAAAACTAAAAATTAAAAATTTCTTTAACACAAATATTAATATTAATGTTGAAAACTAAAAATATTTATTAGTTTAATAGCAAGAATTATTTTTGTTCTTAGTTTTCTAAGAATCATAATAATATGTTACAAAAATACATGAAAATAAATGAGTTTTTTATTTAGAGTTGTAAAATTTAAAAAAACCAAAATAAAAAACTTAAAACTACAACTACAATAAACACAACTTTAATTTTCTAATTTGGGATCTAAATTTAGCTATTTATTATTTGTTTTTGGGATGTCATTAATATATTTATTTATATTTTACTTTTATTTTTAAAAAATAATATAACATAAATTAAGAGTCCTTTTGGTACGGGGTAGGGGTATCATTTAGTGGATAGTTGTTATTGCGCAAATCGCTAGACAATAGGTATTTGACAAATTTGTTTATTTTGAAATTAGTATAAATTAGACGTTTGATAAATTTTTTTATTTAATAATTTAGAAGTAGTGAATAGTAATTAGAATTTAAATCACTAATAAATTGAAAAAAATCACCTCCGCTTGTTAGGTATAATGGTTTTGAAGTAGTTGTTGGCAATTTTATTCAAACCACCATAAGATAGTTATTGGTAAATTTTTTTTTATTTCAAAATCCCTACAAATATAGTGTTTGGTAAAATTTTCTTTTAGTAATTTAAGACTAACAAATAGCATTTAAGGTTTAAACTGTTAGTAAATTAAAAAAACTATATTAAGTAGCTCTTTGTATTGAATCATTATTAGATCGAAATTTTTTAATTATATTGATAAATTTATCCATTTTAATTTTTAAATTTTTTACCATAGTTTTTAATTAGTACTTATATCATTCATTTTGATTTCACATTTCTTTTTAGTATTATTAAATAATTATTATATTTTTATTTTTTATATCATCTTATCATAAACAAATTATATTAGTTTAATAAACAAAATTTGCTAATTTAAAGAAATGATTAAAA